GTGCAAGATTAAAATTCAGTGTTGACTGACAGTGCTATTATAAGCATTATTTATTATTGCATCAAAATTGACAAAATGACCTATTTTGCATCTTTATTTTCTGTTTTTTGTCTGTACATTTGACAGCTTTGCTGCCTTGTTTCAAAAATAAATTTTACTTGTGACATCCACGAAATAATTTACAATTTTTAAATGTGAATGTATTAAATGAAGTTTTTCCTACAAATGAGTTTTATATGTAACTTAGTCGTCATATCTTTATTATTTTCCAGTCCAGTGCCCATCATCTTTTGTGATAAGAGAAAAGTCTTGCTATTACTTCTTTGCTCCTGCGAGTGCACAGCAGGCGGTGAATTTCACAGTTGCTCTCAGCAAGTGTCAGGAGCTGTCACCACTGGCGCACAGGGCCATCATTGACTCGCCAGAGGAGAGTGCGCTGGTGCACTCCCTGAGGGACATTAGAACACGTAAGGAATTTACTGTAAACTCAACAAATAAATGTGTTGTTTGAGTGAAGCAGTGACATTTTTTATATGATATTGAAAACTGTTGGTTAGTTAAATAATGTATCCTAGAGCTGGCATTTGTTTGGATAATTGCACCAAGTCTTGTATTTTGTTTACAAGGGATGTATGCTTATTTCTATTTTAATACACTTCATTGCATCAGAAGCAGACTTCAATATTGAATTATAATATTGTTTGAAATGCCAGCCGTGGCATAAGTCAGTTACTTGACACCTTCTGAGTACAACCTTCATCAGTGTAATTCTATCTCAGATATGCCTGGATAACTGTATGTCAGCTATGTCTGGATAACTGTATGTCAGCTATGTCTGGATAACTGTATGTCAGCTATGCCTGGATAATTGTATGTCATCTATGCCTGGATAACTGTATGTCAGCTATGCCTGGATAATTGTATTTCAGCTATGCCTGGATAATTGTATGTCAGCTATGCCTGGATAACTGTATGTCATCTATGCCTGGATAATTGTATGTCAGCTATGCCAGGATAACTGTATGTCAGCTATGCCTGGATAACTGTATGTCAGATATGCCTGGATAACTGTATGACAGCTATGCCTGGATAACTGTATGTCAGCTATGCCTGGATAATTGTATGTAAGCTATGCCAGGATAATTGTATGTCAGCTATGCCAGGATAATTGTATGTCAGCTATGCCAGGATAATTGTATGTCAGCTTTACCAGGATAATTAATCTCGTTTGTCACTCATAGTACTTACATTCAATTGAAAGGATATTGATGTAAGAGCAAGTTGCTGACTATTATTGACCGACTAATGTGACAAATAAACAAAATGTTAAATGGTATGACGTAATGTGTTTGAACTACATTAGTCAGATAGTAAAACACTAGTGGCAAGGAGAGGACTCATGTAGATGTTGTATTTCTTTTTTCTCTGTGTTCTTCAGTCACCATGCTTAGTAGTAAATGGACTCACTGATTTCACTGATGCCTAGTTTACTTATGAACTGTGTGCTTTAAAATTGAGATAATTTGTAAGTTTATTACTAGGTTCAAGGAATTTCATACTCAGTGAAATTAATGATATTGTATATAGATTAAAACATTCTACTTCCAGCCTTCCTGGGCCAGTGGCAGGGGCTGTGGCTGGACGCCAGGTCTGATTCCAGCGGGACCTTCACCTGGGAGACCACGCGCGCCACTGTGGGCGTCAACGACACCGGCACCGAAATTATCAACTCCGTCACACCCCCCACGGACAAGACCACGCTGTGCCTATGGGCGCTGACCTTCCTGGATGAACTGTTATTACAGGAGTACTCCTGTGAAACCAAGTCAGGATATCTGTGTGAGATTGACAAACCTGAAGACTATACACCCACTATATAATGCAAGAAAAACAAGCCAAGTCAGCAGACTAAATATTAGATAGAAACAACAGGACATTTTCTAATACCCACAGTCCTATTGTTGTGCTAGCCAGTGTTGTAACAGCAGATAGTGAGGTGTCTGGAGGCTAACATTGAAGATAGGGTTGACGTGGAAGGTACCTCAGTGCAACCCAGGTATTAATATCCAGGAAGCAGGGGCAGACATGGGGGGGTGTCACTCTGTCTTTACTGTTAGCATGATAAGCCTGCACTGGATGCTTGCTTGTGGTCTCTCGCAGTATCTGTAGAAGTGTAAAGATTTTCTTGAGGTTTAATATGGTAATAGTTCATAAATTGCTATCACTTTGCGTAATTGAATCTCAAAAGATTGGGTATCACCTATGAAAACTTTCTGGCATGGCACCTTTTCCGTATTCAGAACTTCTGTGTCATCTCTTGATCATGACGTGACTAAATTGACATTAGAAAAACAAGTCATCAGTTTGGTGTCTCCTCATACAACAGAACAACAGGAATGTAGAAAGAGAGGAAAAGAAGTTACTTGATATTTATTCTCGTAGAAATAGAAGCTTGCATACTGGTGGCATGATAAAGACGGACAAGTTTTTGCTGAACGTTTGATGATTGTTCATTTACCTTCATAAAAGTTTGTAAAGGCATAATTAATAATACCTTAATTTTGAGATACAAGCTGAATAAGCATTTAGATATAAATTCATCATCTATGTATTGTAATTACTCACTTCACTGATACAAACGATTGATAATTAACTATTCAGAAATAATATCTTGTTAGAAATATATGTTAAGGTGATTTTCCTTTAAGTTATATAAGTAATGTTAAGAAATCTTTGGTGAATGAAATGTTGGATAGTTGAGGTGTTTAAAAAAATGTATGGAATAAATAATCGTACTGGATGTGCCAGATCACATGGTCCGGGTTCTATAAACCTTGAGGAAAAAACTTGAAAGAAACAGGTTTTAGGGCAAATGAAGATAATTATGGAGGTCTTTGGATTAACTCCCCAAAGAAAATCTTTGGAGGCTCATTTTATTTATATTTTAAAAGGAAGTTTCTCATCTTAGGTGGGACATATATTCCAAGTTTTTTTTCTCAATTTTACAATGCAAACATGTAACCATGATCACAGAAATCCATTATAAGGTAATTATAAGGTAATTAATGTTCTATACGTGGTATAGTAAGTATTACTTGACTGGTAGTAGAACTTATACTGACATGTATGAAAATCCCTAAGTAGATTATTTGCTTAATAAACTGCCTGCTTGCTTCAAATCGTTTGATGTTATTTTTCATGTGACAGCTCTTTTATTGTGTGTCAGTTGTGACGATTCAGAGAATTCGTACGGGGCATGAGCGCTAAGAGATACACAACCAAAGACACTCGTTCAAAGAGAGGTTATCAAGTGCCATGTGGGCTTAAAATTCCTTGCCCGTGCAAAAGGTCGCATTTATATTACTATATCTTAGAGACAGTTGACAGTGAATGATAATTTTATTCTGCTAATATTTATTTACATGTGCAAAATATATATCAGAAATTTGAATGCTGACGGAGATCTTAAAAAGTGATATTAAAATAATAATAGTAGTAACATCCTGAAGTTTGAGACGTGAAAATGAAACGAACTATAAGATAGTGTATTAAAAGATAACAAAGTAAAAATTAGAGTTAAAACGAGAAAAGTGTGAAGCCAGTACTCCGGTAAAAGGCTTCTGTTTGTCAAATTGTAACCATGACGACGAGCTCTGGCTCTCAAATTCCTTACAAATCCTCTCTGCTTAAGGCCTTGTCACACTTAACATGTAACATCGATGCATGAGGAAATTTACACATACGCAGACAAACGCAAGGGTTAGTTATGTACGTCGTATAGTACGTCTCGAGTACGCAGACAAATGTTGGTGTACGCTGGCATAAGTGGACGGAGAATGAGCATGTTCGAAAGCAATTCATACGCTGCTTATACATGTTCGCTCTTCTCATATGCTGGAAGACGGGTGATTTGGTGATTTCATTCGTTCTAAGTTGTGTGTATAATATTTTACATAAGATGCTCATACGGACATTAATACGCCAGGTTTGACAGTTAGACTATATAGCAGCAGTGCTTTATTGTTTCACATGCTCCCAATAAAGAAGAGGTAAGGAATGTCTCGGATACCTTGAATCTCTCTGTGTATGGATATTAACGTGGAGATGGGGTTGGTGATTAAACGTCTCCGCATTTAACAGGTGGATAATATGACATACCGGTATGCCTACACTGATCTTTACATTTTTTTTTTATGCACAAGACACACATACTGACTAAAAATAAGCCAAATGCCAACATTGTGTTTTGTTTTATATTTTACTTGATATAATGCCTATTTTGAAGAAAGCAGAAGAAAAACTCTCAAGATTGAAATAATTTCAAGAAATAGTTTTAACAAAATACCGATAGGATCACTTCTCAATTCTCTCAAAAACTCGATGTCTTTATCATGAGTTTTCATCCTGGCTCTGTCCGCGGCACAGCCATTACGTATTTCCCGCAGTCATCCGAATATTTAATTAGTGCGACATATAAGTACAGTAACAGCATTGGCGGCCCAGTGTACGTTTTACACTCACTGATAAGAATACTGTTGATAATCCTCTCTGAGTAAAGTTGATACTTAGAGGCGAGGAAATATAGTGTGCAGAAAAAAAACTTCATTTCACGGGACATAATCCGGATAATTAGCCGACCCCCCCCCCCCCCCCACAC